CAACAACAACCAAGCTGATGTACTAGTTGCCATCAAATTGATTCTGACTCATGGTGACTCCGTGGGTGTCAGGGTAGAACTGTCTCTTAGTTTTCGGGGCTGTGACTTCTCAGAAGTAGATAGCTAGGCCTTTTTTCTGAGGCACCTCTATGTAGGTTGCATGTCAGCCTTTTGGTTAGTAGCTGAGCACTTCTTTGCATCACCCAGAGATTTCTAAACTGATACAGCTTCTTGTAGTCAGAATTCCTAAGCCCTCCATATCTTCCTGGCAGATGCTGAAAGTTTTCCTGTGATAAAGGATCCAGGAAATCACAAGAATCTCCAAATATCTATGCCTCAGCCTTCCCTTAGCCCTGCCACTATTTTTTGTTTTTTTAATCCATTCATACACTCATCCATTCAGCATCTGTTGTATGGAGAGGATCTACCTTGCACTCTACTACCCACAGGAGACTCAGATATGTATAATATTTGCTGTCTGTTTTTGAGTAGCTCCCAGTGTAGTGGGGCAGACAGATAAATATTAAAATAAGCAGGATCCAAGGTAGGGAGTGCTGTGATGTTTATGTGTGCGGAGTACTCTGGCCTGAGGTCAGAGCCTTTGTGTGTGAGTTCCCTTTTACCTTCAGTGTGACTCTGACGGGGAGGGAGTTTCCAGGTGTTGTCTTGGGTATAATAGATGAGCTGAGATCAATGGTCTGTGAGAACATTACTTGGACAACTGGCAGAAACAGAGATCTGTTTATGGACAGCCCGCCTAGGTGGCAATACCAAGAAATTCATAGAACCCAGAGGACAGGAAGATGGTTATCAAGAGGGAGATAATGAGGTACTGAGGGGAGAATGAGCATGAGGGGAACACTAGGAAACTGAGACAATGTGGAAGAGGCAGACTATTGTGCTTGATATAAGCATCCATTTTGGGGGTCAGGATTTCTTCTTGAGTTTTGAATCCCTGCTTCTCCAGTTAAAAACTGGTATCTGGCATGGGAGTGAAGGAGCTAGAATGTGATAGAGGCATAAAAGACCAATCATGTGAGGAGTAGAATCAGAGATAGAGACAAGAAATCTATAGCTGCCATTTGACATAATTTGTTAATTAATGTACATCTAAGGAGCTCTGGTAGCGTAGTGGTTACGAATCGGGCTGCGAACCTTAAGGTCAGCGGTTCGAAACTACCAGCTGCTCTGCGGGAGAAAGATGAGGCTTTCTACTCCCGTAAAGATTTACACCCTCGGAAACCCTGTACAGGGTCGCTATGGGTCGGAACCGACTCGACGGCACTTAACAACAACAACAAGGGTACTAGGGACTGCCCTATGTATTCTAAGAGCTACAGAAATAGTTTAAGAAAGGGAATGACTCTAATTGGTTGGAGTGGCTAAAGGAGATTATCTGAATGATGAATAATACTTAATGGGTGTGTTGATAATGAGGTTGGTAATGGTGATACTTGTCAACACTTGAGTAGGTGGTGATAAACCAAGGACTTTGAATATTGTAATGATGTTAGATGTGTAATATTTTTCCATTGAATTTTGTTAAAACATTAGAGATGTGGTCTCCTCTAAAATAGCACATTTAAGATTGGGACAAATACTTTAAATTGTAAATATTCATTTAAATGATGACAAAACATTGTTTATTTTAATATAAACATTGATGAGTATGTGTCTGGTTTTCATGATAGGAAAGCAGTAGGTGTAGCCATCCCCTTGTAGGGGAACAAATAAGTACTATTCATGGGGATAAAAGAGCACTGTCAAGTCACTTGTGAGAAGATGATGTCTTTTAAAAGCTGAGGTATGTGGAGCCAGGGAGAGAAGAAGACATAAGAAAAGAAGGCTGCTTGTGTACCAACAATGGCCCATTTTTATTTTTGCAGAGTTCTTAAAATGGAGACTTTTTTTCCTTTAAAAATCTATTGTGGACTGTAAAGATAGAGACTGTGTAACAAAAAGCGGGAAGTAGTTAATCACACAGGAACCCTAGGACCATAAAGAGAGAAGAGCATGAATTGAACCTGGGACCCTAACCAGAGAAACAGCAATACCAGAGATGGAGGCAGAGGTGATGGCATGGAGAGATTGAGCAGCAGAAGACTCTAGACTCATGGAAAGAGAAATGCTGTGTGCTGTCAGCCAGGAGACTGGCTTCCAGAATGTGCCCTTTAGTTGCTTAAATAATTATTTATCCTTGCATATTTGTTTTCTTTTTTTCTAATTAATCACTTTTTATTTGAGTGATTAGTCTTATTATTATGACTATAGAGTCCTGGAGTGATGCAGTAGGATAAGCTCTGGACTGCTAACCACAAGGCCAGTGGTTCAAATCCACCACTACTCCTTTGAAACCCTATACAGAATGGAACTGACTTGACAGCACTTAACAACAACAGTATTAGTATATTCACTTTTTTTTAAATTGTGAATTGAGCAATAGTTTACGTGGGAGAACATTGGTTTTACACTTATCATTTCATTGCAATGATTACAGTCTCCTCTGAGCATCATCCTTCAACATTATTTTCTTCCATTCCCCTGATTTTTGCTTTTTTTGGGGGGGAGGTATGTATACAAAAACACTCAGGAATATATAATAATTTAAACAGTCAAAGGGCACATTCTGTAAGCCTGCCTCCTGGCCACCAGCACCCAGTCCCTCTCTTTCCAGGAATCTAGAGTCCTCAGCTGCTCTCTCTCTCTGTATCCTCATCTCTGCCTCTATCTCTGGTGTTGTTGCCTCTCTGGATAGGGTCCCACATTCCACTCATGCTCTTCTCCCTTGATGGTCCTAGGGTCCTCTTCCTGGACTTTAAGATTATCTATTCCCCAATTTTTGTTACAAAACTTCTACCTTTACAGTTGTGACAGTCACAATTAGTCATGGTAATAATTACTCACTATTGAATCATAAGAATCTTATCACCATCTCTTTTCACCAGACTCATCTAAACAAGATGAAAACTATTCAGTGGGAATGTACATTTCCTCGCACACTGTTAAACTAAACTCCTTTTTGGAAACTTGTAAGCCAGTCACTTCATGCCTTTATTGCCCCCTCATTTTAGGTAGCCAATGTCTAAGTTGCCCGTCCCTATCAACATTGTATACAGATGGGATAGAATTGACACTTGATGTGAAGACTCTTTCCCTCTCCGTTGGCATTTTGACCTCCTGCATCCATAAGTATAGGTCAAGTTCATAAAATTGTAGAAATTTGCACTTGTTTCCTTGATCAAAAATTGTTTTTTTTTTATCTTCCTCTAGTCGAGTTTTGAACATCAAGCCATCAAGTGTAGGTCAAATGGGTACTATCTGCAAGTTTGGGCATTCTTGTACATCTACCCTCACTTCATATCAGCTGGATGCTTCACTCTTAATTCTAAGCTTCTGTGGCTATGTCCTTGTTCATGGACTCAGGAGTTCTCAGGTCTCTCCACACTTCAGACCAACCAGTCCTTCCTCTTTTCCTCATCTCCAGGTCAATGGGAGTCTATGGAACATGGTTGAACTCAGCCCATATATTCATTTTTGTGACACCAGAAATGGAGGCAGAAGTGATGGCATGGAGAGATTGAGCAGCAGAGGACTCTAGACTCATGGAAAGAGAAAGGCTGTGTGCTGGAAGCCAGGAAACTGGCTTCCAGAATGTGCCCTTTGGTTGCTTAAACAATTATTTATCCCTGCGTGGTTTGTTTTATGTTATTTGTTTTTTGTACATCAAAAAAAGAGAGGGGGGTTTCTTGATAAATTAAGTAATCTATAATGGTTTTGGGGAAAGGGGGAAAAGATACACATGCTAGAAAGTGGACACACATTGACATGGGTGATGGGGCAGGCAGTATACAACCAGAGGGAACTTTGCAGAGGCAAGAGGGGGCTGCCAGGAGACACAGGGAGGAATGCAGTGGTTAGAGTGCTTAGAGTTAAATGCTGTTAACTGTTGGTGCATGGAGGGGATTGAAACCATATAATGAAGCAAAGTATATGATTCGTTGAATGTGAAATTGATGTCTGCTCTGTAAACCTTCACTCAATTCACAATAAAAAGCTTTAAAAAAAAAAAAAAGATATTGTGGTAAAATGAAGTAGAATTTGTCATTTTTACTATTTTAAAGCATACAATCCATTCAACAAATCATATACTTTGCTTCATTATATGGTTTCAATCCCCTCCATGCACCAACAGTTAACAGCATTTAACTCTAAGCACTCTAGTCACAATGCTATACAACTATCATCACTATTTGTTTCCAAAACTCTTTCATCAGCTCAAACAGAAACCCAGTGTCTATTAACCAAGAAATTCCCATAACTGTCCCATCACTGGAGGCCTGGTGGCACTGTAGGTTCAACACTGGACTGTTAACAGTAGACTGAGTTAAGCTTCCTCTCTGAGACTCACATCTCTTTCCTCTATTTTTTATTTTGCTCCTTCTTTGACTATAATCAGTTTCTTTGCTTCCTGATTCATTGTTTCTTACTGAGGATCCCAGTAACATCTTAATCTATAGCCACCTGGGATTCATGGGAAAAGTTAATTTATTCACTAGGTGTTGCAGGCTCCAAATGAGTGTCACACTTACCGTCTGTTCCTCTCAACACCAACATAAAAAGCTCTCCCCAGTCCCCTCTATAAGTGGAAGGGTATCTAAAATTCCACTGTTGCTGGTTCAGCTCTCAGTGTTAGACTATGCTGGCCTGAGGAACTGAGGAGAGAGGTAACGCAGACAGACAAGTGACACAGGGGTGGTGATGAGAAGTTTTATTTTTCACAGACACAGACACAACCCCTAACAAGTATCCATAGGTATAGAAGGATTAAGAAAATTGTGAAATCCTGGGCATCAGACAGGAGGAGCTTCTGAGGAGGGCTTACACCCTTCCAGCTCAGCCTATGAAAGCACATCTGGGAAAGGATGTTCAGGCTGAGGGGTCTTTGGAATTGTGAAACTTTGTTTCTTTTATAATTGCTCAACTTGACCACTGTGCACAGGTCAGCAGCAACCCCCAGAACTATGGCTGCAGCTGGAGCCCCCTGACTGCTGACCACTGCTGTTGTTACTGTAGCTGGAGCTCCAGTGCTGGCATCCATGGGACCTTGGGCACCTGCGGTGGCTCAGAAAGCATCCAGCCTCAGAGCTGGGACCATGGCAGCCTCCAGAGCATGGAGCACAGCCAGAGGAGACTGGGGACAAGCATTGTGCAGGGTTCTTGGGGGGGCACTTGGGTAAGGGGCATTTGGGAGGGGCCTGGCACTGCTGCTGGTTCTGCTGGCAGGACATCTTGGTAAGAATTTCACTCTGGAAAAAGTAAAAGAAACATGTTAGCACAGAAGTTTCAGGCAGGTGTCTCCTCCCTTGTGGGTCTTGTCAAAAACTTGCCCTCCATAATCAAGCTGCTTTCTAAGCTACGCTCTGTAGAAGGAAAGGTTTGTATGGAAGGGACATGTGAATTTGTATGAAGTTCCTGAAGGTGTGCCTGATAATGTGCTCAGATGAGATGATTAGAACCCAGAATGCCTGTGGCTTTTGCAACTCACAGAACCCCTTTCCCTGTGCTCTGAGGCTCCTTCCTCTTATCACCTGCCTGAGTGCTGACCCTTATGGTCCTCCTGCTTCTCCTATTTAGATCTGGGCTGGTCTTCTTCAAACACTCCCAGTTGAGACTCTAACCCTTGCAGAAACTTACCAGGCACAGAGGAGGTAGGAGAAGTCTGCTCCTGAAGAGTCTGTGGCTAAGGAGCTTAAGGCAGGCACCCTTTTATCTTGTGCTAGGTTTGTGATGCACAGCCAGGGTATGAGGCTGCTTTCACAACCAGGGAGGGTGATATGTCACACACTCCCAGCACCATCCTCATCCTGGACACTCTCCAAGATGTGTGACAAAAGGGAACTAGGGATTTCTGATGACTGTCTACCTGCCTCTCACTCACGCCAACTGGGGACCATTCCATCATCCTTAATCTTTCACTCAGCTCATACTTAGCACAGGTTCTGCCCCATGGCCTTTGCTAGGTACTAGGTATATTTGAAGGAATATAGCACTTTTCTCTTCTTGAGTAGCTTGCAGTCTGTCAAGAAAGATAGATGAAAAAATAGATACATACACCCATACTCACATATATTTGTCTAACCCTAAGTACTAAATGTTTTAATACAACTTGTGTAACTGAATATAACATCTTCAGTCTGAAGTCAGTCTTTAGTGCTAGACTTCCTTCACCTTTCACATACCCCAACACACTCTGGCATTCAACATAATTTCTTAAAGAGATGGAAAAATTAATCACTAACTGTAAATAGAAAAGAAAGAGACCCGGGATAAGCAGAGCATTACTAAAAAAAATAAAAACAAAATAGGAGGCCTCTCAATTCCTGATCTAAAACCTACTACACAACCACAGTGGTCAAAATAACTTGGTACTGGTATAATGAAAAGCATATAGGTCAATGGAACAGAAATGAAAACCTACAAGCAAACCATCCATCTACAATCAGCTGATCATCAACAAATAAATAAATTGGGGAGAGATAGTCTTTTCAACAAATGGTGCTGGAAAAACTGGAAATTCATTTTTGAAACAAGACCCATATCTCAAAGTATATCTAAAAATGAACTCAATGTGAATTAAAGACCTAAATATAAAACCTAGAATTATAGAGATCATTAATGAATAAATAAGAACAAACTGAGGGGCTTTGATATATGGCATGAATAAATGATCAAACCTAACTGAAAACACACAAACAGTATAAAAACTAGGTGTCTGGAACCTCCTAAAAATTAGACACTTATGTGCATCAAAAGATTTCATAAAAAGAGAATCCACAGACCGAGAAAAACATTTGGCCATGACATATTAAGCAAGGGACTACTCTAAAATGTATAGAGCACTTCAACACCTCAACAAGAAGACAAATAATCCAATTAAAAGATGGGCAGAGAACACAGGGAGCCTTCAAGGCTAGCAGTCAAGTCCCTTCAGGACAAACTCCCCCTTCAAGACTGAAACTGAAAGGGAACACATGAGCAGGCATGTAAACTTCCTGGAGACCATGTTAGTCTATCTATAGGTGAGTGGAAGAGAGGGGAAGGCAGCAATGAAGAAATGGGCTGAGTTCAACCACGCTCCATAGACTCCCGTTAACATAAAGATGAGAGAAAGAGGAAGGCTGGTTGGTCCGAAGTATGATGAGACCTGGGGTTCCTGAGCCCATGGACAAGGACATAGCCACGGAGGGCTAGAACTGAGAGTGAAGCATCCAGCTGATATAAAGTGGGGGGAGATGCACAAGAAGGCCCAAATTTGCAGAAGTACCCATTTGACCTAACCTAGATGGCTTGATAATCAGAATTCAACTAGAGGAAGATTAGAAAAAAAAATTTTTTTGATAAAGGAAATGAGTGTAAATTGCTACAATTTGATGAACTTAGCCTATACTTATGGATATAATAGCTCAAAATACCAACCGAGAAGAAAGAAGTTTTCACATCATGTATCAATCCTTTCCCCTCTGTATACAGAGTAGATAGGGATGGGCTACTTAGGCATTGGCTACCTAAAATGAGAGGGAGATAAAGGCATGAAGTGACTGGTTTATAAGTTTTCAAGAAGGAGTTTAGTTTAAGAGTGTGCGGGGGAAGATAGAGTCCCTACTGAATAGTTTTCGTCTTGTCTACATGGGTCTGGTGAAAAGAGATGGGGATAAGATTCTTATGATTCAATAGTGATTAATTGTTATCATGACTAATTGTGACTGTCACAGCTGTAAATGTAGAAGTTTTGTAACAAAAATGGGGGTGTAGTTAATCTTACGTTACAGAAACAGAAGACCCTTGGACCATCAAGAGAGAAGAGCACAGCAGAGTTCAGGACCCTATCCAGAGAAGCAGTGACACCAGAGATGGAGGCAGAGATGAGGACATGGAGAGAGAGAGCAGCTGAGGACTCTGGACTCATGGAAAGAGAGGGACTGGGTGCTGGTGGCCAGGAGTCAGGCTTGCAGAATGTGCTGTTTGGCTGTTTAAATTGTTATATATTCCTGAGTGTTTCTGTGCACATTCCCCTCCAAAACAAAACAGGGAATGAAAGAAAATATTGTTGAGTGATGATGCACAGAGGAGACTGTAATCATTGTAATGAAACGATGGTGTAAAGCCGATGTTCTACCATGTAAACTATCACTCAGTTCAAAGTAAAAACTTACCAAAAAAAAAAAAAAAAAAAGATGGGCAGAGGGCATGAACAGACGCTATAACAAGACATTCAGACAGCCAGCAAATATGAAGAAATGCTTATAATCCTTAGCAACCCTGTCAAGGGTTTCCAAGGATCTTCTATTGGGTTTGAACCATGGGCCTTTCAGTTAGCAGTCCAGTGCTTAGCCTAAAGTGCAATGCCAGAACTCCTAGTCATTAGAAAGATGGAAATCAAAACAACAGTGAGATATCATCTTACTCTGGCATTAATAGCAATGTTCAAATGACCATAAAAAACAAATGCTGGCAATGGTGTGGAGTGACTGGCACCCTCCTACACTGCTGGTGGGAGGATGAGATTTCTGGCAAGAACTACAACTTTCTAGATTAGAAATTTCCAACTTTAGCTGCACATTGGAATCATTTGTGAAATTTTAGAAAATAATGAACTCTGAACTTCACTACCAAATGCTCTGATTGTCTTGGCCCAAGGTGCATCCTAGACATTGTGACTTTTAATTTCTGCTCAGGTGATTCTAATATAGAGTCAAGTTTAAGAAGATCAGATCACATGAGGTGGAGAAGAAATAATGGGAAATTGGAGAATATGATTATCTATGGGTTTACATGCTGGACTAAATAGAAAATTCTTTGTTTTCCAGTACTAGTCTGCCAATTGGGAGATGACCAACTACTTCTCTGTTCTCAACTCTTATCATTCTTTCCTCCAAATCTCACCTTCATTTTCTCACCTGGCTGTAATACAACCTGGAACCAAAGGACTTGTACCTGGGCAAAAGGGCACCTTAGTGACTCATATTTGTGATCATAGAGTATTTTTTCTGAGCACTTTAGGACCAAATACAGGTGTCCAGAGAGGATCTGAATGGGATGATGTCATCAAGCCCTGAGTAACTCTTTTATAAGGCCTCAGGGTCATGGTGGCAGGGAGTGAAATGAAAAAAGGGATGGCAAACTTTACTAAGATAAGGCATCTGGGAATTCCCCCAACTGTCCAAATACCTATTTTTAAAATGTTTGAGGGCTTCTTTTCTTCCCTCCACCTCTCTGTCAGTTCTCTCTTCACTCTCTTTCTTCATTTCTTATTTCCTTCCTTTTTTCTTTTGTTCTTTATAAAGGAAATTTACATCATACACCAGGTATTATTATGGGGATGAGGAATTATAAATGAATGAGATACAGTCCTGGTTGTGTAGCTCATAGTTAAGTGGGACAGACAGATAGGTTGTCAAATATTTATAACCAAAGCAATATTGTTTTTGTTAAGTACCCTTGACTCAGTTCCAACACATAGCAACCCTGTATGTGTTTCTGAGGAGTGATTGGTAAGCTTGAACTGCCAACCATGCGCTTCAAACCGACTTTGAAGTCCAGTACATTAATCCACAGCACCACGCCAGAATTCCAAGTGGTGAGTATTTTAATAAACACATGTGGGGAGTCCTTTTACTTATGCAAGAGCTTTTGGTTTTCAGTCTTCTATTGCTTTGGTGTGTTCAGATGCTGTCATTGGCATCATGTGGGGGATGAGGTTAGTAGCCTGTAAGAATTGGAGATGGGCATGTGTCAGAAGCTGATCTCAGTACAGGGGCAGCTGGTCCTGGTGGAACCACAGAAAGAAACTCATGAAACCAGGAATTATAGGGATCCCCATATAGAGAGGGATGAAATAAAGCTGGGGTTAGCTTAATACGTTCATTAAGAGTACTGGTCATGGAGTCAGATATTTCTGGTTTTGCTTTGTTGCTTCTTAGGGAGATAACTATGTTAAGGTAGAGGTGGATATTTGGGAGGGAAAGATTCTATAATGTTATAAAGGCACATGGACTAGTAATGTTAGAGTTGAAATTAGAGATGGAACTATGAAACGAACCTATATCTAATGAGACATGTGTCAGTAAGCAACTAAGTTAAGTTTGCATTGTTCCTAAAAGTTTCAGGGGTAGTTCATGGAAGGGAGTGATTCATCTTAGTTTGGATAGCCAGAGGAATTTATATGAAAGGCAAATTACAATTGGTAGTATATGAATAATAATTGATAGGTGTAATAGTATTGACTGTG